GCTAAATTCCTCAGGCTAGGCTTGAACTTGAGCTCCTCCTGCCTCGGCTTCCCTAAGTGCTAGGCATACAGGCATATCCCACCATTCCTGGCTTACTTCCCCATTTTCTCAGATGGATAGTGGACAAGGTGAGCCTGACCTGGCAAGGGTAGCAGGTATAGGTGGAAACCCAAAGGTGAAATGCCAATGATCCCCATCCCAATGTCCAGGGCTCCTCAACAGTAAGATCTGGCCTGCTCCCCACTACAGTGACTGGCCCCGCGCACATATTTGTCTTGCAGTCATGCTAAGAACGTGAACAAGCCACCGTGGGGAGAGCACCAAGTCTGCATGAAAAACAAGAGTACGGCAGTCCCCTTATCCTTGGGGATCAGATCTGAGCTCCCCACTGGATGCCTAACCCTCAGTACTGACCTAGAGCCACTGCTTTGTCCTAGGCAAACCTATGCGGCCCTTGCACCTTTTTACTTAGAGGCAGTGCTTTGCTGCTGGTCTTGGCACCCGAATCTCCAGCATCGATCTCTGGCGCTCTGGGGCCGCTGTTAAGTGAAATGAGAGCCACCGGAAATGCTAACACTGTGTACAGTTACAGATCTGATAACCCAGCCGGCTACTGAGTTGACTGGGGGGGGGAGCGCACGTGGTGAAGAGCTGGAGACAAAGGGATGTTTCCTGCCCCACGCTGGAGTGAGATTTCATCACACTATTCTGAATGGAGTACAGTTTAAAGCCTGAGAACTGTTCACTGCTGGAATTTTCCATTTAGTATGTACAGAGCCTGCCTGATTGCCAGCAACAGAAATCGTGGAAAATGAAACCAAGGAAGGAGAGGGAACCACAGAACTTCTAACTCTGACCCAGGACCCCTCTGACGTCCAACATCACAAAGCTACAGGAGCTGAGTCAGGGCTGAGAAACATCTAGCAAAATAAAGCAGAGCTGCACTTAAGGGTCCTGGATAAAAGGGGTCTTAGAGTCCATGTGGTGCGTCATTTTAAGCAACGTACTGCTAACCTTTGCAGAATTTTACAAGTTACTTTCATTCATTTTTGATCGCCATGCTGGAAAACTAAGGCAAGACCCCCCTCCCACCCCCTGCCCTTTGATGCTTCTTGCGTGTGATGCCAGTGTTTTTTTGAAAACTCCAGCTCTGAAGAGCACAGATTAGAGTGGTGGCTGTTTTTGTCAGAGCCAGAAAATGATTAACTGATTCACTCTTTCCTAAGATAGGTCTTTAGGAGAAGAAAGGTCACGGTGTGGTGAAGGCTGAAGAATGTATTTCAGAGAGCTCATTCATATGGTGGGTGGAGTACTCCGCAGGGCAAAAACCGGAAACGCACGGAGGCGCGCGTGCGCGCGAACACACACAAGCACACACACACACACACACACACACACACACACACACACATACCCCTCTCTCTCAGGCAGAACGCCTCAGCCTGGGAACCAGCAGCTGCCCAGCCAGCATAGTGAAACCAGGAGGGAGGGGGAGACAAAGTGCTGGGGCTGCAGCCCTTGGAAAGGTTCCAGCAGGTGACAGCCAATGCTGGGACCAGCCGAGGAGCTGCCACTCTAGGGAGGAGCCAACCAGGACCTCCCCCAGCCTCAGAGGCGGAGGCCAATGGCGATAGGCGAAGCGAAGGCACACCAAATTAGGCAAGTGGCAGAGCTGGCCCAGCGCCCTCGCCAACAGCCACCCCTCCCCCGGGAGAGGAAGGGCAGGGCAGGGCATGTTTGTAAACATGTCGGCCCCACCCTGCAAAGATACTCAAACTGAAAAGTGCCTTGGCCAGCAAAACCTCAAGGGCTGTGAGGTTTCTACGCACTCAGTTGAATTCCCAGGCCTAAGATAAATGGATATCAACAGACGGCCTTTGCTGTTAACACTGCATGAAGGGCCCAGGACCTGAGAGAGCCAGGGCCAAACCACTACTTTTATCAGGTGACCAGAAAGCTGGTCCCACGTGAGGCAGAGTGCACCACGAGGGGACACAGGGCCCTGCCCCCAGCTCCAACAGGAAGAGTAGCACCCTGGACTTGAGTCACCACCCAGGCCCTCCTGACAAAAGCACCCTTCAGGCCACAGCTCAGCTCCAAAGCCTTCTTCAGCAGCAGATGTTTTCCTTTGGGCTATGGCTGGGCAACACTCCTAGTTCCCAAAGGCCCAGACACTTCTCCTGAACCTGCTTCGTTCTCTGGGGCTGGCTGGATTACCACGCTGGGCCTGGCTAAGGTGGAGGTGGAGGCCCAGCCCAGAAGCCCCGCCCCTCAGTGGCACCCAGCTCAGCTCCTGCTGGGCAGGGAGGGACCTTGCTCCCAAGGCACTGAAGAAATGGGCAGTGGCCAGCCCAGCCCCTGGCGGCTCAGACACTGCTTTGCTTTCGTTCCAACAGCTGCTGCAGGGAACACTGGACACAGCCTTAAGGATGTGTGCGGCTTTTTGGCTTTTGTGCGATAAACATCACATAGGATACATTAATCCACAGAGTGTGAACAACTCAGTGGTGGTCACTGTATTTGCTAAGTGGTGCTACTGTCAGTCACCACTGACTCCAGAACATCCTCATCCCACAAGGACCCGCCCCACCCTGTACTTGCAAATGGCACCACCTTCTCCCTCTCATCCCTGGCCTCAAAACTGTCTCCCGTCTGTGACTGCCTGGCCCCAGATGCTGCTGCCAAAAGAATCACACACTACACAGCCTCCATGCTGGCTCCTTAAGGGAAGTGCATTTTCCTGGTCCACCCACCAGGACCAGTGCTGAGTTGCTCAGAGCTGGCTGTGGCAAGGGACCTCCTGTCCTATGGATGGGCCACACCCACCCCACATTAGCTGACACATGTCTGCAGTATCTGCTTTGGGGATATTACAAATGGTGCTGCCACAAAGACACAGGATGAGTCTTCCTGGACAGAGGATGGCAAGCTGTCTTCTCTTTCTGCGTTAAACTAGCATCTACAGTGGCGGCCTCCTTGTACCACCCTGAGCTGGAGTGGCTGGGAGTTGTTGGGATCACACCCACCCCCAAGGTCTGGCACACACCTAATCACACACAGAACTTGGGTTTTAGGACAGGGCTACTCCAGGAATCTGAAGTGACAGAAAACCAGACTCTCAGAAAGCTGTGAAGAATAAGAAACAATGCCAAAGTTGTGCTTTACGGCATACACCTGAAATCCCAGCACCCTAGGAGGCTGAGGCAGGAGGAACTCAAGTTTCAGCCCAGCTTGGCAACTGAGTGACTTAGTGAGATCCTGCCTCAAAATAATAAAAGACTAGGCATGTAGCTCATTGCAAAGGACCTGGATTTAACTCCCAATAATAACCAAGGGAGAGAAGAAAGGAAAGAAAGGAAGACAGGAGGGGCAAAAGGAGGGAAGGAAGAAGGGAGGGAGGGAGGAAGGAAGGAAACCACTAACTTAACAGCAGTGCTGTGCAGAGGGCCAGCATGTGTCAAATGCTCCTCAAGTTATTCATTTCCTGATCATCACAGGGAACTGTGGCATTTGTGGCAGTTTTGTGGACAGGTAAGAAGACCTGTGAGGCTGCCATGCCCGGCCAAACAAGACAGAACCAACCACACAGGGCCAGGGCTACTTGCTCCTGACCTCTCAATGTCTTCCAGTCTCTAGTGAGAGGACGCTGGCTCCTCACAGCCCAAACACAGCTGCCCCCAGGCACACACAGGTGCACACAGGTGCACGCAGGACAACCAAAAGCCACTGCAACACTGAGCACAGCCCAGCTGGGCGCGGGAGCCATCCCTGGGGCAACACATGAGGGTGAAGCAAGATGTGATTCTGTGCACAGAGCTTGGGAGGGGCCACCTGCAGGGACTATTTGCTGTGCTGGCCATAGGAGGGCCTCCTTTTGGGGCTGGAGGCTGGCACCGCACCACCCTGCCTCTGCAGCACAGCGGTTCTCAAGAGTGTGGCGTGGGGCATCTCTAAAAGCCTGAGACCCTGCAGTGTAGTGTCAGACCCAGACCACCATCATAATAGCACCAGAAGTGGCCTCCTTCCTTCAGTGTGGCCTCTGGTAAAGCACAAGCGGTGGCAGAAGCAACAGAGGCTGTGACAGGAGCTGTGGCCTCATAACCAAATGCACTAGGGCCACTTTCAGGGACACACATGGGTACATGTATGAGTGAAAAGCCCATTTTATTTATTTATTTAGTATTTGGTGCAGAGTCTCATTATGTAGCTCGGACTCGTGGTGATCCTCCTGTCTCAGCCTCCCCTGTGCTGGGATCACAGGTGTGTGCCACCACGCCCGGACTCACCCATTTCATTTAAAAGTGGCTGTGATGATGGTCAAGATTGGTGGTACACATCTGTAACTCTTTCTTCTGGGAGGCTGAGGCAGGAAAATCATAAGCTTGAGCCCAGCCTGGGCAACTCAGCAAATTAAACAGACTCCGTCATCTCAAAAAGTTTAGGGGCCTGGCCTTAGCTTAGTTGTTTAAGTGGCTGCTTCTACAAAGCTGTCAGCCTCAGGCTGCTGTAGTTCGATCCCCACAACACTCCAGCCAGCCAAACCACCCCTGAGGGCATTCGGAGCAAAAAAAAAACAAAAAAAAACCCTTATTCAAAAAGTTTAACAAAGGGGTTGAGGATGTAGCTCAGTGCAAAGGCCCAAGGTTCAATTCCCAACATCTCAAAAATAAAGGAAAAAAAAAACAGGCTCACCAGATCCTAATATACAAATATTACTTAAAAATGTTTTTAAGGGGATGTGTGTATGTGTATATATGTATGTGTGTGTGAGAGACAGACAGAGAGAAATAGAGACAGAGAGAGAGAGAGAGAGAGAGAGAGAGAGAGACAGACAGACAGACAGACAGACAGACAGAGACAGAGAAACAGAGAGAGAGAGAGAGAGTGAGCGAGATTTCTATGCTTGTGTTAACAGGCTCTGTATCTGAAACTTCAGCCTGGCCAGGTGTGAAGCAGGTGACGAGTGTTCTAGGGCTCAGGCTCAGCAGGCAGCTGCTTACCTGATAGTGCCAGTTGGGGAGGGTATAGGGCTGACCAGGCTCCGGAGATCCGGCTCCGGAATGTGGATCTTCAGCGGGGAGATCTGGGGGTACAGTGGCCGGAGCGGAGATGCTGGAGCCTCTTCTTTATGGTACAGGGATGTGAACTGGATCTTGATGGCCGTGCTGGGAAAACGGAAGGTGCACCTGCAACAGGGGGAGAGAAGGTCAGGTGAGGAAGCAGGGAGGACACAGGGTTCCAACGGGGCAGCTCCTGGTCACTCTCAGCCCACTGTGGCTCACGCCTCTGCTAGGACACTTCCCACACAGCTTGGCCATCCGAGGGACAGAAGAGGCACAACCCCAGGCACGATGTGGCCATCTCCCTCACAGCTCCCAGACAGGCATGGCCACTTGTTGCCCACAGGGCAGCTGCTGTGACACTCTGGCCATGCCCACCGCTGCACATGGAGACTTGATGACTGGGCACAGTATTTATGCAGAGATGCTCAAGACAGATTCCCTCCCACTATGCACACAGTGAGAGCAAATGCTACGTGACAAAGGTAGTGAGGGATGCCACCTGAAAACACTTGTCAGGAGGAGTCCTAGTGAGCAGAGTCATGAACCAGAGCTTAATGCTGGTTTTCCAGTTTGCACTGGGCTTAAGGACCGTAAGCCTGCTTTTCCCACTGGACCTGACCATTGCTGCAGCTGCAGAGGCATCCAACGCCAAGGCCGCTTGGGGCGCTCAGAGGACAGCAAATATTGCTCAAGGCTCCCTCTCCGAGACAAGCCCATCCTGCACACCACCTCATTTCCACACAGAAAAGTCACAAATCAACAACTGCATGCCATGAAAAGAACAAAACAAAAATGAAACAAATGAAAGCAGGTTGCCCAGGACCACTGCTTGAGGGGAAAATGGGCAAGGAGGGTAGAGAAGGGGCACATAAGTCCTGTGACAACACACAACACACAACACACTCCCACACTTGAGGGACGCTCAGCCTTCCTGGCACAGCCACAGGGACCTGGGGACAGCTTCGTTTCCCCTGACTGCATTCCACCTGCAGCAATGTGGACAGCAGCTCTAGCTCCACCCTTGCATAGATTCAGATGTGGGCAAAATACCCGCTTCATTCCAAGAGTCTCCTGCTCTTACAAGCCAGTGTGGGTTTTTTAAAAAATAAGACTTAAGAAAAAGTCAAAGCTGGGACATGCGATATACAACTATGAACTGGTATGAACTGGTATAAACTGATAATCCACCCTGGAAGGCTGAGGCAGGAGGCTCAAAGGTTTGGTTCCATCCTGGGTAGCTTAGTGACTCATTGAGAGCAAGTCTCAACATTGGGAACTGGACATCTCAGCAGGTGACTGTGACCCGCTGGAGGTGATGGTCCTGTGCACACAACTGGAGCAGAGCCGAAGCTCTTCTACCCATTTCCCATCTAGAGGGGAAAAAAGTGCAGCTCGCTGGTAGCATTTACTTAATTTCACATAAACACACTCTTTGAGGCTGAAGCAAATCTGACTGGCTTTTTTTTTGGCAGAACCAAGGATTGAACTCAGGCCCTTGCACTTGCCAGAGAAGCGCTTATTCCACTGAGCCATCTCCCCAGCCCCCTGACTGGCTTTCAATGTGGAAATAAAATATAAAAACTCTTCTTGGAGCTGTTTCTAACCAAAATTTGTCTATGATTCTAATAATGATACTAAAATACTAATAAAGTGATACTAAAATAATAAAAGTGACAAGCTTTGGTGGGGGGACTCACCCAGGGGAGTTGTGGGGCTTAACAGGAAACAGGGCAAGGCAGGCTTCGAGCGCCGCTGCTAAGCCAACCTAAAGGGGCACCCTGGTCCTCCATGGTCTCCCTGCACCGGAGGGAAGCATCTTCCCCTGGCATTCTAACTGCAAAGGCCCAACACTGGTGGCCCCAAGACGCTCTCTGAAGGCCTGGGCTGTCTTCCCGGATGCCTGTCCGCTTTTGCAAGTCACAGAGCACATCCACCCACATTGCTGTCTGAGGACAGGTTAGATGTCCCCAAGCTGGGGAAGTGGGGTAAGCACTTGGTGTCAGAAGCACGGCTGGGGATCTGAGCGGGTGAGCCACGCTGGCCGGCGGAGGTCCACTGGTGAGTGGCAGCCCTGAAGGAGGAGTACGGTGTGTGGCATGCTTGCTGTGGTAACGCTACCAGACAGGACAGCAATGACAGTGACAGGGAGACAGTTTCCAGGTGCTGTACTGCGGGTCTTTTTCTCCCATTCCATCCTGACATGAGACTGGCTAGGGGCTCGCATTGGGGCTCTGGGTCCTGTGCAGGGAAGACCCTGTGTCCACACAGGGCCCTGACACAACTGCCCCATCCAGGCCAGCGAGAGAAAGGATGTGGCTTCTGGCCCACATCCACGGTCACGGGCAGACGGGGTTCTGAGAACAGGGTCCTGGCACAAACACGAAGAGGGCTACAGTCCCCAGGGACTCCACCTTGGGCCACCCGACCTCCAGGCCTGAGTCCTCCTGCAGTGATGTGAGGTGTGCTGTGCCCGTGAGGACCACTACCCCACCCCAGTCTCTGTCCTCCTTACCATCAGAATGGAAGGCTTGAGGATCATCTCTAAGGAGACTGCTAGGTTAAAACCCAGGCCTCTGGATGACATGCGCAGGTGGACCATGCGTGCAAGGAGAAAAACAACACAAAGCTTTCTTTCTCTTCTTTTCTTTTTTTTTCCCCAAAAACACAATGTTTTCTAAGACCAGGATTCAGGGATACCTGTAAGTGAGGTAACCAGGGGAACCTCCCGTACCTGAGTTTTCCAATGGGGGTTAATAGTAAGCATCTTTGTGGTGTTGGTCACTGACAGCTATTTTAAAATTAGCTCCCCATCAAAAGTAAAAAAAAAAAGAAAAAAGGAATGAGCTCCTAACTTATTCTCCCAGACCCTATCCTGAGATAGGTCCCACCAGGAGTGGGAGGAGGAGCCAGGACACAGGGCACCCAGGACTCACATCTCTCCTAATGGCTTTCTTTCAGGCATAAGGCCCTGGCTGGCTGCCGATAGGTTTCTTTTTCGCATCAGGATTGAACCCTGGGCCTTCGCAATGAACTACATCCCCAGGCCTTTTTTGGTTTTTAAATTTTGAGACATGGTCTCATTGAATCACTGAGTTACTGAGGCTTGGCTCAAATTTTGATCCTCCTGCCTTAGCATCCGAGAGTGCTGGGGCTACAGGCACATGTCACTGCGCCCAGTCATCCCAGCTGCTGCATGGCTTGTGACCTCAGGGAAGCATCGACCCAGCCCCATACCGTGTGGGGCCCAGGTCCAGGGGCCACAGGCCAGACAAGAGGAGACTGCTGAGACCCCGAGTGCGCAGCCTGCAGTCACAGCACCAGCAGGACCCCATGTGTAGCAGGGACTTGCCAAGGAGCCTCTTCCCCATAATTCTGAAGAGAAGCCAAGGCCACTTAGGTGCCAGAAGCTCTACCACTGTGGGACATTACAGAAAAACAGGATTCCAGGAAATGGCTTTTACATATATAATCCCAAAACAAAGAACTCTGCCAATCTGAGATGATTTTTTTTTTAAATTTTATTTATTTATTTGTGTGTGTGTGTGTGTGTGTGGCCAGCTCAGCCCACCAGGGGGCGGGGCTGGCTGGCATGTGGTGCTGGGGGATTGAACCATGGTCACTATGCTTTGCTAAGCTTGTTCTAAGTAGGTGCTTTAGATCACTGAGCCATCTCACCAGCCCCACTGAGATGATTTTTAACCCAGTGTATCTTCTACTAAATATTTAATACATCCTGCCAGAATATACCTCAAGTGAGCCGAGGTGGCTACTGGCTGTGGGAACCTGTCAAAGGGCTGGGGAGCAGCACGGGAGGGCCACAAACACCACTCACGTGCTGAAGGTGCTCACTAGCATCCCTGGAGAGGAGCCCAGGAGGTTGCATACCTGAGGACTGCTTCAGATATGCAAGATTTGCAAGACCAAGCACCAACAAAACAAGACACCCCTTGCCAAAGAACAGAACAGTCCTGCTACAGCGGGGACACAGACTCAGGATCACAGAAGCGAGTGCCCCGGGGCACAGCCCCCTGGACACCATCCCATCACCCTCTCAGGACCAGTTCTAATGGGTGTGTGCTTCTGAGTTCAGCCATGGGGTGTGAGGGAAGCTCCTACAGTAACTTTGGAGGGTTCCCTCAGAGGCAGGGAATCCAGACTGGGACTGGACAGATTCTGCACCCAGAGCTAGTTCTGGGTCACATGCAAAATCTCTGAGAACCATGGCAGGTCCCTGGCCAGGTGCCAACAGGTGTACCTGGCTGCCCACCACCCTGGGAGAAAGCCCAGCCTGCCTCTTGAAGACAACCCTGAAGGTCAGGAGGGGGCAGGAAGTGACCCTCACCAGCTCAGCACAAGGCTGGAAGAAGGACCCTTATGGGGACCTGGACCAGGACCCAGGGAACCCTAACAGAGGAATAGAGACATACGGAGGTGAAGGGGGGGGGGGGAGAAGGTTGCAGGGACAGCAGGGACAGTCTTGTCCTTTCAGGGAGATTTATCAGATTTAAAATAAACCAAGGAAAAAAAATCACCGTGTAAATGGAGCTCCCAAGCTTTCCAGTTTGGAAAACAACAATAAAACAAGGGGCTGGGGATACAGCTCAGCAGTCCAGCCCCGGCCTGACAAGCTCAGGTCCTGAGTTTGATTCTTGGTACCCCCCCAAAAAGACAAAAACAAAAACTTATGCCCTCTGGAACTTCCCACGAGCCAAGGAACAGACTATCCTGATTTTGGGTTAGCACCACACCATGGAGCAATTAGCAAAGTCAAGTCTGCTACCTAAATTTCATTAACATGAAATCAGTAATATAATAGTGAGTTTAAAAATTCCAATACCTACTAATACTAATACCCACTAATTACTAATATCTGCTACATACACACAGGTACCGGCTACACACATACTCTAGGTCAACTGCCTAACCAAATGTCCCCTGGAAGGATGTAACCACACGTGTGAGAAGAACACAGAGAAAGCCTGGGGTGGTTGCTCCCTATGAATTAGAGAGGGGAAAAGAGAAGGCTCTGGGACACAGTGGCAGTCAAACTGCAGAGGGAGAGGAGGCTGGTGTTCTGGAACCTGGAGAGTTCAAACCCCGGGCCTCATGTTGTCAAGCATGGT